TATATTTGTAATATAAATTTTTAGATGAAAGGCAAATTAATTAAAAATTAAAAATTGTAAATATCATTTATCATTTTTTTTAAAAGAACGGACTATTGACCCAGATTTCTTTCACACGCGGTCGCCGCCGCTCCCACGCTGCGGGTTCAGACGAGCTATTTCCATCAAATCTTAAACCGTTTGATCCTAATCCAACGGTGATTAAGGCATTTGCCGCTCATGGGAATTTAATCTGGCGAGTAGCGAAAGGTAGAGAAGGACCGCGCACGCGCGAAGCCGTTCAATACTTCCCCGCCGCAGTCTATCTAGCACGTGCGCAACCGGTCGCCTTCACACGGAACCGGTTACCGCTCAACGCTGACCCCACCGTAATGCCCGTATGAAAGCGCCGACCGGCATCCTTGCGAGACAAGCGCTCGCGCCACCATTTATTGCACTCCACCCGTGGCTCCGTACGGTGTCACCGCCTACTGCCGGTCTCATCCTCGACCTTAAAAACCATAAAAGAAACCTCACTCCTTTTCTCCCTACGCCTCACTCCCCTCTCTCTCTCTCTCTTCTGAAATTCTCCGCGTTTCTTCTGTCAGAGGCTACAAAGCTCAAAAACCCTACAAGGAGAGGTAGAGATCGAAGGAGTTGTATGAGAAAGGAGTGATGATGACGGAGAAGATTGAAGAAAAGTTGGATTTTATGACGGGGGCGATCTCTCCCTTCTCCCTCGACGCGATTGAACCCTCTTTTGGAGGAGGATTCTTCGACCTCGCCGCCGACATCGACGCCGGCGACCGTGGATCCTTCGGCTTCGTCGACCTCCTCGGCATACACGATCTTCCCCAAGTTCTGCTCGACACTGAGTCATATGGAGCTTCCGCCGCTCCAGCTCTAGAATCATCGGAGACACAAAACTTCCCGGCGACGCCGAACTCGTCTTCAATCTCTTCATCCTCATCCGAGCCCTCCCCGGACGCCGATCCGACGATGCCGGCATCCGATCCTCCGGAGGCTGAAGACGAATCCGCCGAGCATGACCAGGCGAAGAAGATGTAAGCATTCTAGTTCGATCGATTTAGAAGGAGTACGTTGATCGAGATGGTTTAATTTCTTACATTCTGTTATTTTTTTCGGTTTAAAGGGGATCATCGGATTCGAAGGGAAGGAAGAAGAAAGGGCAAAAGCGCCAGAGGGAGCCACGATTTGCGTTTCTGACGAAGAGCGAGGTCGATCATCTCGAAGATGGTTATCGCTGGCGGAAGTACGGCCAGAAGGCCGTAAAGAATAGCCCCTTCCCCAGGTTCTTATTTACTAACTCTCTTCTTCTGCATGCCACTCTAGCGGCGCTTAATTTGTTCTGAAATTTAAGGGTACTATGGTCATTCAAATGCAGGAGCTACTACCGCTGTACGAGCGCTCTCTGCGGCGTGAAGAAGAGAGTGGAACGTTCCTCCAACGATCCATCGGTGGTGGTCACCACCTACGAAGGCCAGCACACTCACCCAAGCCCAATAATTCCACGTGGCAACCACCATTTCTCCGCCCCATCGCCGGAGCTGGTCGATCTCCACCGCTTCCAGCTTCAAAGCTCTTATGTGCTCTCATCCCAGCCGTCGAATTTCCATCCAGTGGTCACCGCGGCTCCACCGTCGCTTCCGCCGCCGGCGCCGCGGCCTATTCCTGTACTGGGATTCGGCGAGCGTACTTACTGTGATTCTGCGACGGGGATCGGGCTACGAGATCACGGACTCTTACAAGATTTAATCCCATCAGATGTCATGATGAAAAGGGAACAGTAGATATGTAGACGGCGGTGATTCACCGCTTAACCGCCGGATTTGCGTAGGTTGATCGATCGATGATTTATTCCTTTGGGTTTTTTATTCCTATGGGATTGATTACTTCTAACTTATACATTGCACTTGGACTTCTTCTTCTTCTGAACCCATGTACCCTTACCATGTATAATTATCAGCTATTTTTTTCTTCTTAATTTCTTCGCTTGCTAGCTTAGAAATTTATAGTTTTTTTATTCTTCAACGTTGTGCTCATTCAAAATTTTATTTTTTTTTTTCTTTTATTTATTTCTTTCTTTCTAATTATTAGCATGGAAAAGTTCGATTTTTTTTTTTAATTCCCTCCCGTTCTTACCTTACGCTATTGCTAATATTTCTTTCTGTGGGAGTGCAACCCTGAAGCAAACTTCAAAAAATGACAATACTTTCATGTTTTATAAGTACTGTGTAAGGTCCAGGGTTAGGGTTTAATAGGAATGACGGACTGAAGAGGGCAACAATAGATTATTATTTTACCAATTTTATGTTGAGCTTAATTAGTGTGCTTCACCTGTACGTCTTCTTTAAGAGCCCACAGTCCAGAGCTTACGAAATGATCTTTGAGGGCAAGATGGAAAGACATAAAGCTCCAGATCGAGATCTTCCTTCATGATGAATTTCAGTAAGTTTAAATATTGGCATGAAGCAGCTTAATTGCTTTCTATTTACTGTCATCCTTCTCCCTCTGCCTGCTCAACTTCTTCTTCATTTTAGTTTGTTGATTATTCTATGGCTGTCCATTTCTCATCTCCATCTACATGCAAGAGTAGAATCTCTTCAGATCTTTATACATCTTATTGCTGAACAATATAGAGTTAATGTGATTACTTGTGTGTTCATTATAGCCAAACTAAACAAACCCTCACAATATATACTACAATTATTGAACTATTACCATCTAAACCATTAAAAAATCTTATCTTTGAAAGAAAAAAAAAAGTTTTTTTGAGACTGTAGCAGTAGATATTTAAGGAAATGGGTGTTGTCCTTTTGATTGAGATGGGGTATAGTTGGTGATAAGGAATGTTGGGGGGGAGGAGTAAATGAACTTAACCGTTATGGCTAAGCATGACATTTTCATACCGGTGTAATTTAAGGAAGGAGAATGAAACTAGAGAACAATAAGGGAAGGTAGCTATGAGTAGCTGCAACTGATTCAAGAGAGGTATAGACACAACTTTTTTCCTTAGCAAGCTAGCTTTTGTCCATTACCAGTACACACACGCCCATTCCCCCCACGTAGGCTTAGGCCTAAAACAACAAAGAAAAACTTTTATTATTATTTCTTTTAAATTAGTGAATGATTCTCATATGAAAATTGAAAAGTCTGGTTTTTGTGATTCAGGCTTCGTTTGGGATGGCATTTTTTAGTACAAAATTTATATTTTGATATTAAAATTGTTTTAAGAAGCTGAAAGAAAGCCGTCCTAAACAAAGCCTCAGTCCTTCAATTTTCTTCTCTATTAATGGATGTTTCTTCTTTATGGTGGAAGCGATCTACTTAAATTTGATTGTAAGAAGTTAACAACTGAGCCTTGCTTAGCTTACGATATGTTTCTGTACTTGTTGTTCTTGTCAGAGCTCTTACTGTGCCTCCATGTCATTGAAAGCTGGCTTTTTGGCTTTTTACTGACTGTAAAATACTAAACTTTTCTTTACAAAGATGCACATAAGAAGTTATTTGGTTCTCTCTAATGATGGGATTTATTGATTTGAAGCGTTTGAATGGTTTGGGCATAGGACAATAATATATAAGGTGAGTGTTTGAATCTGTATTTTGTTGATTTGGTAGAGAATTTCGTTCCCTGCA